GAGAAATTCATGGCACTGCTGTTGGCCTCTACATTATAGAATTCTCACGTCTTCCCTCAGCAAACCACACTCATCCAGATATGGACCGAGAAAAGCCTCAGAGCCAAATCATATATTAATATAAAAGTTCAATTCTCTCCCCCTTTTGGAGCATGAATTAAACAGACAGACATCCTAATATTTTTATTCTCACATCTCAGTTGACGCCTCATGGAACTCTGTAAATTACTCAAGTAGTGAGAGGCATCTACATTAGGAACTGGGCGGCGGCGGGGATGACTGTAGTTTTCAGAATGATACTTCGTTGCACAGAAGTACTCAACGGATGCTCTGGATGCTCGCTTAACTGAAACAACGATATTTAAATGATGGCTCTAAGTCACCCAAAATAAGTTAAATTATGCATAGCATATTGCGATTAATATGATAGTAATCCAAAATTGTCAGATTGAGAGATTTCCAAAAACAACTTTCATGTATCCAGAAAATTTACTGGTTCAGAATGACTTAGTCCAGTTACAATGAATTCTACAGTCACTTTCAGTTTAGGAGACTGAAGAGTATACATTTATTGTTCCATGTTATGAAACCTAATAGAGCCATCAGTACTTTACTCACTGATTTGAATAACTTTAAGCCTTAAAAATATTTTTTTCATAATCAAAGTAGTAACGGAAGCAGAAATCAGACTTCATATTTAACACCATTGTTATCAGCAGTGGTGGGGAACAGTATTTACTTTTCCCATACATAACAGAGAGAGTACTGCTTCATGAGTCAAGAAAATCATTCAAGTTTTAAACATCTATTCTGTTTTAGAAAGTACAAGAGATAGAATAAATGTGACACGTGTGCATATAAATTTGACAACGTATAAAAAGAATCTCAGGTATTCTGACAAAGTGATTCACAGGAAGAAAAGATCACTGAGTTAGAATGAACTAAGACCTGTTTTCACGAGAGAGGGACCTGAGGAGGATTCAGAGCTAGGAAGGAAAAAGTATTCAAAACTGAGGTAATTAATTTGTTATTTGCGTTAATAAAAATGTTTAATTCAGAACACCAAGTATAAGACACATTCAAGTAAAACAATTTAGAGAGACTTTCTGTTAGAGATATGTAATTTAAGCTGTTCATCAAGTCACACACTCATATATGGAAGTGGTACTTATCTAGTCTTTAGTTTCATAAATTCTCCCAAATTATACTTGAAATAAGAGCTCTAGCAAGAGAAAGAAAAATTAAAAGGAGCTGTAAGAGAAACCTGAGGCACTAGATCGCCATCTACTCTTTTTTGAAAGTTAACAATTTCTACCATCTGGACCTTTCTCTAGCATGACATTTCCTCCTAGTATACCCTACACCTGTCATTTTATTTTAACTTGGAAAAGTGATAAAAGTTCACTTTCAAAAGAAATTCATTTTAGTAATTTCCTGTCCACCAGAGGGCTCCAATATTTCTTCCACAAACGGGAGAGAGAAAACATTATGATGAAACTATACATTAAGCACTGAAAAAAACTCAACTTATCATTATCTTATCTAACCCTAGATGAAAAAAAATGTTACATTTGTTACAATTTCTACACTAATGGTTTTAAAAGACACAAATTTTAACTGTTTAATCACCTAAAATGTTTCAAAAAACCAAAACTGCTTTGCCATTACTCTCACGATAATTGTCAGTTTCTCTTAGGTAGAGTTTTCAGTTTTACAGCTATCATGAAGTACAATTTTAGTCCAAAGCTCTAAATAGCGGCGCAAATGTTTTATATAACGCTTTTATAAATACAATTTATTTCTTGATAACTTTCCCAATCCAGAAAATACAATTAGTACCTTAACTCCCCAGCCTTTGGCCTGATTACTAACAGAAAGAGTAAACATTACCCTTCAGAAAATCTACAGTCATTAACATTATTTGTGCTACAATTATTAACAGTGAACACTGCCCCATCGTGAACTATGATTTGGGCTGAGAGAAATAAAATAAAGGAAATGAATCATTTAAATACAATATATGATAATGATATTCTGCTCAGGTATTTTCAGATTTTTTTCACAAGTAAATTATCACACTGGAATGGTGGAAAATCTCTTAATTCGAACTCAATCACTCAGCAAAAGAGAATTTTTAATGTAAATACATTTATATTACTTATAAAACATATTTACTTAATGTTAATTGGAAAAGTACCAACTGCAAGGTATTTTTTAATGAGTATAGCAAATCCAGTCACTAGGAGTGCCATGCCCTCTCCAAAAAGACTGACTCGCTAAATTCGGATTATTAAAAAGTAGACTCCTTATGGTGAATACAATGTATTGGCTGTTTAAAAGTAAATTTTAAATGCGAGTTAAATTTACAAAACAAAAAGATGCTAAAAAATCGATTTTAAAGTTAGTCACAAACATTGCCATAAGACTTTACCGAAAACATCAACTGATTTGGCAGTGACTGTGGCTCGACAGCAAATTAGCTCTAATGAAAACATGACAGGGGTTTTAACTGCATGTCCCAAATAGGATTTTTCGGCACCACTGACAAGGACCATTAACAGAGAAAAGAGAACATTTGTTTCTAAATAGCACATACTAGCTGTCACCATTTAGAAACTTGAAAATTTTACTGCACCTAGCAAAAATGTATGTATTCATACCTACAAGAGCAGGTATCCTTATCAGCTTGGAGACCTGCTGCAAAGGAAATGCCAGTTTGTAGAAAGAGGTGGGGGTGGGGAGGCTGGGCTTTTCAAGATTGAGAGCGGTAACATTGTTCTCACTTTAAATCACGAAGGTAAATGCAAACTAATTGTCATTACTGATATTAAGAGTTTAACAACAGGAAGCACAGAAAGAGTTTAACAATAATTAACAACTTCTAACCGACATCTATCATGGTATAGTTCAAAAAGTTGAAGATTCTAGGAGCATGTCAAATGAAGGCACTTCTTAAGCAAAAATGTGATGTAAGTAATAGCAAATGAAGGTTTAAAAGGCTTTTCAACATAGGGGGAAAACCTCAAGACCTCCAACCAGTTGAACAGCTAGAAAATGACACATGAATACTCAGAACAGACTCATCCGAATTGTACTTTAGACACACTCTGAAAGAGCATCATCGGGGCATTATAAGTTTATTACATAATACTGCTTTGCCCTTGTATATCACCTTTAATCGAGGGATCTCAAAGCACCACAAAATCATTAAGGCCTTAAAATACGGTTTAAAGCAGAAATAGTTACGTTCCGTAACTGCAGCTATTCATAAAACCTCACTGCTTGCCTGGCTCCTGCTCTGAATGCTAGCTTCCAAACCTCCTCTCTGACTTGGAAAGTATTCTCCAAATCACTTCAATTTGTGACCGATGCCACGCATACTCCAGCTTTTCTTCATTGCCGGGCCTACAGAAAGCAGCAGCGCTGTTTTGATGACACAAATCTATTTCATTCTTACTCTGTGACAGAATACCTAGTGAACATATCTTGCAGTGTGCAGGATGATATAAAATGGAGGCTTTACAGAGAGCGAATCTTTGCCGGAGGTGATGAGCCCAGCACTTATCCCACGGGAAGGAGCATTTTCCAGCTCACTCCTGAGACCTCGCCAGGGGACCCAGGAGCTGGGGTAGAGGGAACCCCGGCCCTCTGCCCTTAGGTGGCCAGGAGACTAGTCTCCTGTGTGCAGACCAGGAGAGAAGGGGACGCTGAAAGGACAACGCACGGGTTGTAAGACTCGGGAATGAGTGTGAGGCTGCCGTGTGGCCACCCAGGAGACCGAACGTTGTGGTTCCTTTGCATTTAAATAGCACATTAAATGGGAAATCCGATATAGGCAAAATGTCTTTAAACCAAGGTCAAAACACGCCACTTAGAGTCATTTAATTTTTAAAGTCTGTAAATGAGGTATGCTCCTACAGAAACATCTGACATTCTAAAATGAGATTAGCGAAGTTCAATTTTGTTTTTTTCACTGAAATACAAGAACACGCGAACGTTAACGCGATGTAGGGTGAGCATAACCACGTTAACACCAATTCTCCCCTAAACGGGATCGTTCATCTTCTTGTTAGTTGCATTGTGTGTGTCCCTAGGACTGCAAAGTGTAATTTCACACTCACACGAACCCACCTCCCAGCACTGGAAGCCTACACGGTTTCTACTGCTAGTCAACACACTCACAACACAACCTCAGCCTTTATAAACAAAAAGAAAAGCGTCAATAAAAAGTACTTTTTGTTTCAATCTCTCAACACTCAAGAATCAAGGTTCGATAATGTGTTTTCTTACTTTTAAAAGTCCAATGATATAATACACACTACCGATACTGGGTACCAGAAGTCCTGGAATATTCACAAAAACTACCCATATACGATCAGCTTACACTTGTGAAAATTCCGAAACATCTTAATATTTTTCTGTTTCCATACTAGATCACCCAGACATTTCAAAAACCTCACAGCAAATTCTCATGGGCTTTCTCTTGAAGAGATTATAGGGCCTTGTTCTTGCAAAGGCATTTGTTTAAATGAGTGTAGATGCTAAAGAATCTACAAGTTTGTACCGAGCGCATTAATGATCTCGCCGGCGTCGGAGCAGGATTCCCGTTTTCCTATCTACCTCTGCATGTGGCAGGGACACCTGTGCTCGGCTCTGCTCACTGTCACCGACGTTTTCTGAAGCTTTAACATACAAGTGTTCAGAGGCTTTCAGCAAAGAGAGCTCTTCTCCACTTGCTACATTTTCCCGACTTCTCCATTGTCTTTCATGATTTAAAAAACACGACCAAAAAAGCAAAACCCATACTAAAAGCAGTACTTTCTACAAAGGGGAAAACAGAACCTCTAACTTCTCCAAATCTCCAAGCACCGAGGCTTTTAAACAGTCGGCCCCCTCTCCCGCCCCGCAAAACCTGCACCCTTTCTGATGAAATAAGATTGGAAACCACAATTAAATCAAAGGTGGGGGGGGGCGGGTGTCGCAACTTATCCTTCACTCACCATATCCGCCGGGACATTACTGGACATCTTGCCGATGGAGACAGACCCAGATGCTCACGCCAAAAAAAAAAAAAAAAAGGAAAACAAAACAAAACAAGCAAACAAAAAGGAGCAGAAGAAGTGCTCAAGCCACCGAAATCAACGTGAACGAGCTCGGTTCGCTCGCGCTGTGCTTTCCAGACGCGCGGGGGCTCCGGGGCCCGAGGCCCGGCGCCGGGAGGGGCGATGCCCGCGGGCCGGG